GGTAGGGAGCGGCACCCGAGCGGAGGCTAATTGCGAGCTCTGAGGATGTTCCATGTCGAAAAGGTACCGATAAGTGCATTTTAAAGCATTGATAATACCAATAACTCACGCAAATGTGAATGGACTACCGCAAAAGTAAAGACGGCTAACTTTGCCATTTTCTGAGATCATCGTGCTAAAACTTTTGACAGTGGGTCATCGGCACTGAACTCTATAATGTGGAATGCGCATCGGCCGCCAAATGGTGTCCAACGGTGCCGCCATGTTGCGCAGACCAGAAAGCGGCCGCCGCCTGTGCTGGGGAATAGGGAATTCGGGACCTCGATTTACGTTTGCGGTCGCTGCATCCGTTACGCTCAAGCTATGTGGACACGGAACCCGGCATCTTACGCAGAATTGAGTGGAGAACAAGATGAAATCCTAAAAAATCCTCAGCTACAAGGAACTAATACGTTAAACCCTTATAAGTCAATGGGGAAATATGAAAATTGCTATTTTGGCGCCGAGAATGATCTGAAACTATCTCAAGCATATAGAATCATGATTTCATGCACTTTTTGCAAGGTTCTATGCTTCATATTTGCATTGTTGCCCTTGCGTGACGTCATCTGTGACGTCACAAGGGTCACAATTTTTCTTCAATAACTCCCGATCAAATTGAGCTAGCGAGTCGGGAAAGCCACCAATGGACTCAGGAAGACCTGCCGAATAGAATGATATGCGACATGACCTCTTCCGACCAACTTCGTGACCTGGGGGTGCTGACCTGACCTTGACCTGAGGTCAACACCCTAAGTTGACCTGACCCGAACAAAAAGTATATCACTCGATGCGCCTGAGCTAGCTGAACACGATGATACCAAAATCGCGGCTCTACGGCCATTTTTGGCGAAGTTATTTACCAAAAAGCGAACCCATGCCTTAGATCACTTGACCTGACCTCAGAGGTCACCGGTTGACCTGAGACCCTTACAGCGGGTTCCTACCAGTCACTCTGCATTATACTTTGCCGCATACGACCACTTTACCGCTTAATTCTAGTTTAATTAGCGGTGCATTAGCGAGGTGGGTTCAATCAACCCCCTCGGCCGGGGCAAATGTAGGTCAGGCGAGTGAATTTGAGGAATTCTGAAGATACGATCGTGTTCCCCACTCAATTCTGCGTAAGATGCCGGGTTCCGTATCTACGTAACTTGAACGTAACGGATACGGCGGCCGCAAACGTAAATCGAGGTCCCGAATTCCCTATTCCTCAACACAGGCGGCAGCCGGTTTCTGGTCTGCGCAATCTGGCCGCCACCGTTAGACACTACGGCCAATAGGGTTGAAGCGGCATTGCTCCCCTGTAGTCATCGGTATCTGTTCACTGTTCAATCACACGTGTTCCGTTTCATTTTTGTTTTTTAGGTACTTGAGCACAAATGTAAGTTTTGAAGACCATTACAGTAGCAAATGCTTCGAAAGATGGATAGTGGGCAAAATATCCTAAATTTGTCGTGCTGCATGGAAAGTAGTGTTGCTGAGAAAAGGGAGTTTGTTCCAGATTATTGTGGATGCAGAATACATTGTCTGCACCCTATGCAGAATTATTGTTGGTGCAACTGCGCCCACTGCACCCATGGTTCCTACACTTACTTCGGCCCATCGATAGCGCTTCAGCGATACCTATCGCCTAGAGGCTGCAATGGGGCCCTTATAGTACGGTGTAAGACCCCCAGAGGCCGGCGTTGGATCCAAGGGTCAGCGAAGGGCCTCAAAGGCCCCAGGTAGGGCCCCAGAGGCTGATGTGGGCCTTCAAAGGCAAGTGCGTGACGTCCAAAGGTAAGGCTTGAGCCCCCAGAGAACATAATAGGGCCATCAGTGGCCGGTGTAGAGACCTCATAGGCCAGTTTTGGGCCCCCTCAGAGGCTAGTGTGGGGCCTCAGGTGTCGGTATGAGGCACTTAAAGACCGTTATGGGTCCTCAGAAACCGGCATCGATCCTTCAGAAGCCAGTACGGGGCCCTCAGAGGCACATAAGGGTCAGTTTGGGTCCCAGAGACAGAAATGGGACCATCAGAGGCCGGTGTGAGACCTTTAGAGGCTGTTTGGGTCCTTAGGGGCCAGTTTAGGGCCCTCAGAGACCAGTACAAGGCCTCCAAAGGGCAGTTTGAGACCATCAGAGACCGAATTGGGCACTCAAAGGCTAATCTAATGTGAGTCTTTACAGGCCAGCATGGAGCCCTCAGAGGTTAGCGTGGGGCCATAAAAGATCGACATGGGCCGGCGTTGGACCCCAGAGGCCAGTAGAGGGCCCTCAAAGGCCAAGATGGGCCCTCAGAGGCCGATAAAGGCCCTTAGAGGCCGGCATCAGGTCTTCAGAAGCCCGTGCGGGGCCCTCAGAGGCTAAGGTGGGTCCTTACATGACAGCACGGGCCCTCAGAAGTCAGTGTGGGGCCCTAAAAGATCGGCATGGGCCGGCGTTGGTCTCCAGAGGCCAACAGAAGGCCCTCAAAGGCCAATTTGGGCCCTCAGAAGCCGATGCTGACCCTTAGAGGCCGGCATCGGGTCTTCAGATTCCAGTGCGGGGGCCATCAGAGGCTAATGTGGGCCTTTACAGGCCAGCATGGGGCCCTCAAAGGTCAGAATGGGACCCTAAAAGACTGGCATTGGCCGGCGTTGGACCCCAGAGGCCAGCAGAGGGCCCTCAAAGACCAAGATGGGCCCTCAGAGTCCGATGCGAACCCTTAGAGGCCGTCATCGGGTCTTCAGAATCCAGTGCGGGGCCCATAGAGGCTAATGTGTGTCCTTTCAGGCCAGCATGGGGCCCTCAGGTCAATGTGGGGCCCTAAAAGACCGGTATGGGCCGGCGTTGGACCCCAGAGGCCAGCGGAGGGCCCTCAAAGGCCAAGATGGGCCCTCAGACGCCGATGCGGGCCCTGAGCTGCCGGCATTGGGTCTTCAGAATCCAGTGCGGGGGGCCCTTAGAGGCTATTGTGGGTCCTTTCAGACCAGCATGGGGCCCTTAGAGGTCAGTGTGGGGCCCTTAAAGGCCGGCATGGGCCGGCGTTGGACCCCGGAGACCAGCGGAGGGCCCTCAACGGCCAAGATGGGCCCCAGAGGCCGATGCGGGCTCTCAGAGGCCGACATCGGGTCTTCAGAATCCAGTGCGGGGCCCTCAGAGACACTTAAAGGTTAGTCTTGGGACTCGAGAGACAGAAATGAGGCCACCAGAGGCCGGTTGGGCCCCTGAGGCCGGTTTAGGGGCCCTCAAAGGCCAGTGGAGGGCCCTCAGAGGTCAATGTGGGTCCTCAGTGGTCAATGTGGACGCTTGACCGCCACTGAAGGGCCCTCAGAGGTCAGTGTAGGACCCTCAAAGACTGGTATGGGAGCTGTTAATGGCTGGCGTGGGTTTCTCGAGCCTCGTGACAATCGAATACGGGCCAGGGCCCCATACGGCCATGGGGGCCCATCGGTTGTTTGGGGGGGGGCCAAATGATATGATGGCCCCCCTGATTTGCCTTTGGGGGGGCCATGGCCCTGATGCCCCCCCCCCTGCGACCGCCACTGAAAATATGTGGTTCGTGGGTGACGGTCACGCGACATGAGAAATAAATGACAGATCTGGGCAGTAGCGAAAAGAAAGCAGAAGAGGAATCGGGCACATCTTCTGCTGCTGGTTTTGCATCAAAAGTATTGTATCTGATGTTCACACCACTACCAGCGGCATATTTGTGCCGAGCAGAACGCGGCGCAGGATTCACTGAGAGTGTAACACAATATCCTTGTTCCGGGATACAGGAACAGCCCGTGCGTCAACAGGATAAAGCGCTCTCTGTCTGCCGCGGATGTTGGCTGCCAAGACACGCCACATACCACCATACACCACGTGCCGGCTGGCTACCCTGGGCGCCGTCGGCACTCGGCCCTGGGTCCACGGAGAACCCGTGTATCCGATATGCTCCGTCAGGGCATCCATTAGATGATTTCACCAGCAGACGTTGCCCGAATCTGATACAGAGTCTCGTGTGGCAGCGTGGCATCTCCCGGGAGAAATCTGACGCTGGCTGAACGCCGGGCTGCAGGCGGCTCTCCGGTAGCATGCAGCGGCATTGGTAGCTCGGGTGAAACCCATAAGAGTGTGACCGACCTTCACGATCGCGGGCCACCGGGGTACGCGGAGAACCGGCGGCGCCGTGACCGGTGGACGCGCCGAGCACGACCCCGGCCCGCTCGTGAGCCTTTGTTGCCGGTCGGCCGGCGCAGCCACCGTCCACTGCCCTGCAGCGGAGCGCTGCCGACCCAGCCCCCACGCACCGGGCGGCGGGGGATGAGCAAACACGGTTCGACAGACCCGCTGATGAAACTGGAGCACGGCACGGCACGGCGCTGGGGAGCGATTGAGAGGAGGGCGCACCGGGGAACGAACAGAGGGTTACGCAACTTGGCTCGCAGCTCTCCTACGTATCTACAGGAATGCACAGGGACGACGTATATAGGAACTCAGAGAATTGACTGATACGAAGTCAACGGCTAATTTAGCAGACACCTAGATAATAAAATCAACACGACCAGTGCCCTGAACCGCCTGGTGCTCTGGATCACCAGCGGCAGCGGAGCGTTCAGCCCCGTACCAGCGATCCGGCCGGCCGCGGCCCCCCCCCCCCCCATCCCCTGGCTGCGGTTCTCGGAATGCCCCCTCCCATGCATTGCCCACCTGGGGCGCCAGCAGAGATAATGACCAGATAATGATAATGCTCAGCTGCGCGGCCGCCATTGTGATTGGGGCCGGCGCTACGACCAGCGGCGGGGGAATATTAGGAACAGCGGCGGGACACAGGGCACACGCCCGCCAGGGACCTGCACTTTGAGCGTTAGGATCACGGTTACTAAATATGGAAACACGTGAATAAATGAAGCTGATAGAGGTTATAAATTAATTTGCTCAACCTGAATGATGACGAGCGTAACAAAGCCACACACTGTCTTCCACAGACACCCGTTCTCCTCCGCCATACATACCTGTATCGGCTCGTTTGGCGGCGGCGGCGGCGGCCACGCGCAGTTTGTGGCCGCTCAGCAGGTCGGAGAACGACAGTGACGAGGCCACCAGCTGCCGACGCTGCTGGAAGCTCAGCTGGTCGTCGCTGAGCGCCCGCGTCGGCGGCGACGGGGCAGCGTCGGCCCCCGCCGCCGGGTAGTAGGCGCTGCTCACGCGCAGGGCCATGGCGGAGCGGGGACTCGGAGTCAGCTGGGACCGAGGCCTTCACCTGGCCGCCGGCTCTGAAGGACGGCCTTCGCCCCGGCCCGGTGGCCGAGCCTGGCGCCGCTGTATTTCCACTGGCCCCGGCGATTCGGCGAGGGCTCGACACCACTGGACCCTCGGCGGCCGGCGCTCGCTTCCTTTCACACCAGACGGCCAGACAGCCGGTATCGAGCCGATCGGAGCGGCGCGCTCGCCCGTCACTGGCACCGCTCGCTGTCAACACATCACCGCTCACACCAGCCGTCGAGCTCCGCTGATGGCGTCACATCACTGCACGTCACTCTGCACTGCGGGCATATAACGCGCGTGGCGCAGAAGGGCAACAGAATGAGCCGACGCAATCACTCTGCAGGTAAATTAGCCCCGCACGGGACTCACTCAGAACACTTCTGTTCCTCAAACCAGGATCACATCAGCGTCCCGTCACTTCTGAATCACGCAGCGACACAAACACCGTCACGTCACGTCACGCGCACAGCTGTGGCGCGTGCTGGCGGCGCGCCGGTGAGCGCTCGACTGACTGGGGCGGCTGGCGGCGGCCGGCCGGCGGAGGGCGGGCGGCGGAGGGCCCACCTGGCCGCCGCTGGCCGGGCCGGGCTCTGTAGTACGGTGCCGGCCGGGCCGCCCGCTGGAATGTGCCCGCGGCCGCCGTGGGCGTCACGCAACAGGCCGTCGGCGGCAGCGGCCGGCCGGCTGACCTATCACGCTCGGGACGAGCACGAGCTATCACGAGCTGTTCCGGCGCGCTGAGCGGTAAATCGGCGATAGAGCGGACGGCGGAGCTGGACCATCGGCGCCGTTTACCGTCCCATCAGACGGCCGCCCCTCCGCGGCGGCCTCCAAGGTCGCGCCGCGGTGCTCTCGGCGGGCTGCCGGTGCTCCTGTACGCAGTGGAGAGCGGTAGCTGGCCGCAGTGAAAGGCTCACCGCCGAGGGCCGGAGCCTCTCTCTGGGCCCGGCGGCCGGCCCGGTCCGGTCTGGGCGCCCAGTTTACTGCCGGCAGCAGCTCCAATCAGCGCAGAGGCTGCGTCAGCGCCGGCCGCCGCAGCCATTCAGCGCCAATTGGCCGACGTCGGCAGCGCCGGCCGACGACTCAAGTCGCGAACGGAGGAGACCGGGCGGCGACAAACAGCCAAACAAGCGGCCCAAGTGAGGACGATTGGTGACGGAGGCCGCCGGAGACGGCGGCCCCACAGAGCACACTTCAGCCACAGTCCGCCGGCATACAGCCGCAGTGAATGTCCTAGAGCACGCGAGCAATGGCGAATCAGGGTAATTTGAGCTCTGACCAGCGGGTACACAGGTGTCCACTACCCAGAACCAGTCCTTGTTTGTAGTACCTACCCTCCTGATAATTGACCTGTGCAAAATAGAAACTAAATGGCATGCAGAATTACAGAGTGGCGATGTCCAGATCACGGAAGACCAAAATCGTTTCAAATGTTGCATTTATTATCAGCAAATCTTGCGCAGTGCACAAATCGTGTCATATTCAACTATCTAACGTACCATCTTTTTATCAAACATTTTGGGAAGCCGCCCAATCTGATTCTTTCTCCACAACTCTGCTTACATTATCCCCCTACCCCGACGAGCCAGCCACCTGCGTCAGCAGAGGATTCCCTACCGACACAGCAGTGTGCGTCACGCTACGCACCTGACCTTTAGCCTGCCGGGGGAGGGGGAGGGGCGACCCCGGAAGGTCACGCGCTCCCGCCGACGACCGTAGACTGTCGTCTGAAGAAGCCCCGTCGGCTCCAGCCGCGCCCAAGGCTGCGGGAAGCCACTCCGCGCCGGTCGGGCTGGAGGGGTCACCGCAGAGAACCACGGGACCTCAGACAGAGACAGAGCGCGACCTCAGGCGGGAGGAAACGGCAGCAGAGACCAGAGACGAGAGGCTGTGACACGTGTGTGGGGGCTGACGAGTGAACCAACTTCTACAACAACTCCGGACGGGCGACAGAGCTCCCCATGAATACTGAATGCTCTTATAACCCTAACAGCCCCGCAGAGGCAACTCAAGTGACAGGAAGACGAAACACAATAGGATATTCGAGACAGCAAGACTGCTCAAAGACGAAAACAGAAAGCAGTGTCATGCATTACAACTGCCTAGGCTTGTCAGCAATGCTCTCAAGCTTTGCGTCTTTAGTGTCACCAGACAGACTTAAAATGCATCTTTAACCCACACATCATCTCAGCTACTTCCCAGTCACGCTCGTGCCGTGCTGTGAGGTGTGTACATTTCGCGGGCTCAGCAGCCGGTGACACGGCCAGCGCAGAGTTCCTGGGGCGGCTGGCACCGAGCCTCTCTGCCAGCGGTGGCACCGAGCCTCTCTGCCAGCGGCGCCAGCCTGCATGCGAATGCCGGCATCACTCGGGCGCCACGGCGCATACGTCTCCATTAATCTCGCCAAACTGACGCGGTGGCGGGGCCGGCAGGGGTGGCGTGGGAGGCATCGGCGACAGCCACTACCGGCAACTGGGTCGGCAGACAACAGCACCAGTCGCAGTCTGCATGCCTAAGGCGACTACCGGCTTGGCAAACGAAAACTGACGGGCCGTGGGCTGGGGTTTTGAGGGTCGGATCCTAAGGCGTATTACGATGTCGGAACCGAGCGCTTGCTGAAATATTTGCCGCCCATGCGTTGAGCAGCGTCAGTGAGCGCGTTGCAAACAGCCTTCTCCTGAGCTGGCGGCGGCCGCGGTGACCGCGGGGGCGGGAGTGGGGATGGGGCGGGGAGTCACCGCAGCCCATTACGGCGGCGGCGGCGGCACGTGCTCTCTACTCCGTGACCGCCCCGCCACTGCCGCTGCCGTCGTTACCGCTGCAATAGTGGCGGCCAGCGGAGCGGGGCGGGGCCGCGCCGACCGTGACCGGGTGAAAACACGGCGGGAAAAACGAGTAACGGGACGGGACACACGCCGGCGGCGAGCCACTGTCCGCTGCTCGTCCGCTCTGAGGGATGGCTCAACAAAACCCGCTCATCAAACTGAAGTTGTTTTCTGCTGGCTCTTTAGAGTTAAAAATCCAGCTCCATTTTGTGCTATTTTGAAGTATTCATAAATAATTGAGTCTGCGCGCAGTAGATCAATGAAAGTAATCTAAGAATAGCGCCGTAAACTGGGCTAAGTTGGCGTCCGGTGTTTACTGGGCTGGGAGCGACGCGCGGCGCTCGGCTAACTCGGTTCGCTCGGGTCCTGAGCTGGCCAACTCGACGGCCCCGTGGGAGCTCACTCGGAGCTCGTAAACGCGCGCACCGTACCGCACAACAGCCGGCCGCAGTCGACGGAACGGCGCCGGGGTTTTTACAGGCTGCTAAACGCCCGTCTGACTGCACTCCGACCATCAGCGGTGCAGCGATTTGGTCAGTGAGCACCAAAGGTTCGAATCACGCTGCATGGCGGCAGAGCGGGAGGGGGGGGGGGGGCGGTACGGGGTCGTGGATCCTTTTCAAGACATTGAAATAACTGCTACAGCAGTGTTTGCAAAGAAAATAACTTTTCCATTTCCATCAACCTCACTTCGTTCGCTAATGCCACGCAATACAGTCTAGCAAGAAAGTGCCAGGCAGAAGTAAAAAAAAAAAACTTACCGGATGCAAGAAAACAGTCACACTCCCACATAACTTCGGCGAAGTTATGTCAAAGAAAACTTGAAGATTGGAATCAACAGTAGGTAAACGGTGAATACCCACACAATCTCGAAAAACTTTCTGGCAGGCTGCCATTAGCATACAATGGAGAGCTAAATTAAAAAATCGAAAGTCATGCAACGATGGTTTAATCTAAAAATGAGCCCACTTCATTGCAAAAGCATCCCGACCAAAAGGGAATTCGCCATACTGTTTTACCGTTGCAGTGTGCATGTAATGTTATTGCACACAGACGACAAGCTGAGATTTACTCCTACAATTCATGAAAGTGAAGTGCATGCTTGTAAATTGCTTAGGTAAATGACTGATGGTGAGTTAAAACGCAACAGTAAATCCTACCCATTCAACATGGGATGAAATGTCGGGAAGCGCATTAAACTATCTTGAAACTAATGGGCACTAGTAGGCATGTCAGCAAAAACACTAAGAAACTCTGACCAGACGCCAAGACAATAATACTTGTAGCATGAAGCTTCGAATCGGGCATCACTATTCATCCAGTGACCAGTGTGACAAGACCAACCCGTCCAAGAGCTCGCCCGTGTCGACACCTATAACCCTCCGTTGCGCGCCCTCTGCCGTACCCGACCCCGACTCTCCACGGCCCGGTGACCGAGCCCACGTATCGACCGGTCCTCGGTCGGGCGACCATCGTTCATCTGACCACAGTCCGCGGGCACAGCTCTTCCACTCCGACCCGAGACGGCAGTCGGGTCAGCCACTCACCGCATTTACGACACAGTCAACCGCAACAAAGCGATACCGTCAAACGGCAATTTCACGGGCGAACGACACGGCTAGGATGGGAGGCTGCTCAGCGCTCAGCAGGCTGTAGGGGGATAAACAGGGCCCGACACACGGCCAATCGACAATCATATCCAGAATCTCGCCCGAAACTGAGGCATGATACTCAGCTAGCTTTCGTTTTAGGATGTTGTGAATGAGGCATGCGGTATGGTATCATGAAAACATATGCCAATACGAAAACAAGATAAGATATAAATGCACCATTGCTGTCCATGTCACATCACCTCCCCTAACAATTATTTCAGTGGCACGACCGCGACCGCGGCGGGAAGCTGACAGCGGCTGGTCTCCCCACCAGGACAGCCGTCAGCGCCTGGTCGGCCGACCGGGACAGCCGCATTCCGAGCACGCCCCGGCGGCGCGTGCCACCGCCACCACCGGGCCGAATTTGACACCCATCACGGCCGTGCATTCGGTATTGATCTGTGGCCGAGATGGCCTGTCGTCTAGTCTGGGCCGCCGGCCGGGTCGACGGGTCAGTGGGCTCCGCGTGGTCGCTGGGTGGGTGCAGCCCGGTAATAATTCACGGGCGCCGCCGCATCGAGCCGTTTGAGCCCCATTCGCCTGTCCGCGGGGAGGGAGATTGGCCCCGGGTCGCGTGACCACCGGGAGCTTTGGTTACGTGGCGTCGACAGCGTGTGGCGACAACCACAGGGAGCGGTTCAGCTACCGCCTGGTATAGTTCGTCCGTCGCCAACAGCGCGGGTACTCAGAGCTCCAGACCGAAATGCCGCTTTGATAGCGTCATGCCGATGCGCCTGCCGTCAGCATACCGCCAATGCTATAAGTAAGTCCTAGAGCACATCATCAGAACAAAACTCCTTTTATTTTCTCTAAATGGCCACGATTTTGCTGAAATACTTGTTTCGATGCCGCCAGTATTTCATAATGTCCAGGACATCCGAGGCGATTCAAGCGCTGCGATCTGCGCCCACCGAGTGAAGTATTGCGGCACAGCATAACTTCAGGAATCTACTACTAGCGTTATCTAGCGGCAGGCGAGGTAACTAGGCGTCGGCTCTCGATCGT